GAGAGAGAGAGAGAAAAGAGAAAAGAAATAGTCCAACTCACCGGCGTCAAATCACGGTCATCGTCCGCTTCGGTAGCCGACGTGGCGGCTTCGATCAGGTCTTCCCATCGCTTGCCCTGGGCCCATGCCGCGGTCTGCGGTTCCGCAGAGAGCGCCTTCCGATCGCCGAGACTGGGTCGTCGCCCATATTCTTTGGATCGCGTGCGCTCGTGCTTGGGACGGCGGGGATCCTTCGTGATGGAAGACTTGCGCGGCCTCTGAATTCGGTCTCTGCGCTGGATGGGCGGCAGTGTCGACGACCGGCCGGGAGGAGAGTGTAGAATGGAAGGCAACAGCTCGCGAGGACGGGACGGCTGAAACGGGGGTAACGACTCCTGCTTGAAATGATCACGCAGCGGAGGGAGTTCAATCGACGATCGCATGCGATCTCGGCCGATATCGTTGTCCGAATGAGTGTCCTAGCAGGTCGATCGTTAGCGGACTGGTCCTTTCCCTTTTTGCACTTGACCAGCTACACACCTCCCAATCCGAGGCCAGGCGATTGTGGTGCAATTGGGCGAGGGCGACGGCGGCGGTGGCCGCTGCCGGGTGGGCGTCGTCGATGGTGCGCGAGGTGACAGGAGAGCTGGCGTCAGCGACGTAGATGTCCCGGTCGGAGACGGCTGCTTGCCATCAGCATCCAAGCGACACTGGAAAGGGAGCCAACGGACCAGGTTGTTGCTTCTTGGGCTGGGTGGAGGGCGGCGCCTGCGGATTCAAATGCGCGCGCTGGTCCAGCGGGGTGTTGACCATCAGCAGGAAGCTCTCCTCGGTGGCAGGGAGCTTGGGGATGTAGTGGCTGGGGTGAGCGCGCCGGATGTGCTCCTGCATGGAGCGAAAGCGCTTCTCCTGCAGATGGAGAGAGGATGATTAGAGCGGCTGTCATGCTATCTCGATTGTAAGGCATCTGCGGAACTCACTCCCAGACATCGCTTGCGACAATTGGAGCCATCGTTGTTGGTCAGCGGACAGACAACCTCGTTGTTGGCATCCGACACGGAGAAGGAGCTGGTCAGCGAGGAGCGAGGCGGCATGGTCTGCATGTAGCGGTGGTCGAGGGGGGAGGTGGGGTGGAGGACGGAGGAGGAGGGGAGCTGCGACGAAGCTGGCACCGGCAGGCCGGCGCACGATCAGGCCAGGACCAGCACGCAGGACGTCTCAATTGTGCACGGCCAGAGAGAGCAGGTGAGCCGTGAAGCATGCTCTGACGAGGCGAGTCTGCGATGCGATGCGAGGGAAGCGGAGCGCAGGAGGAAGAAGAAGCTAAGCTCGGGCAGGGTTCCAGGGAAGGAGAAGTAATCCAAGGGAAGGGACGAGAGGGCGGCCGGGGAAGGAGCGAGGCTGAGCGTCGCCCTAGCCGCCGGATATTCAGGCGCGCGGCCATTGGTGGAGAGCTCAGCAGTGAACTGCCTCTTGCCTGCCGGAACGAGCGTCGCAGCACGCCCAATGCGGAACATACAGCTGTGCTGCTGCTGGCCAGTGCTGGCGCCGACGTCACATGGATGGGGGCAAGCTCCCCTCCTTCCGGCTCCGACTCGTTATCGATAGCCGTCCCGCCCGGCATCGCTGCTTCCCGATGCGGTCGATGCCTTTCGCTGGCCCAATTAATATTCATCGAGCGGCCTGAGGACAGCGAGAACTAGAAGCTAGGATGCACTGTACCAGTAACTGGGCATCTCCCTCTGTCGACGACTGACAATCTCAGTCCTGACTCCTGCACGGGCAGCCGGACGGCAGGAGCACGCGCTGAGGGGCTGCCGTTAGTTAGCTTAGCTTCAGACGGGCCTCTCTCGCCCGAGGAGGGGTTCCTGGCGGGTCCCATCCGCCAGAAAATGAAGCAACGAGGCACTGACCAGAACAGGAGGCAATGGCAGTCTGCAATTCGATTCGCATGCTCAATTTTACTATTCCTGCTGCTGGAGCTTACTGTACAGTGCATACGTACGGGGTAGACTGGCTCTGACGCATACGACTGGACCAGACCAGACAGTGCACCCAGCTCAAAAAAAAAATTTAAAAAATTACTGCCTGTCTCGGCAGTCTGATCAACCTACACTACATATCTTCAGTAAGAGACGGCTGACTGCATTCAGCTAGAGACCAGCTGAATAATGCTGATGCTGATGCTGATTGAAACCCCTCCCCCTGCATCACTTTTTTTTTTTTTACCAGGCTGCTGCTGCTCCGCCCAGCTGGATGGATGGAGCTTCAGAGCCAGGGTTCAAGCTCTCCCCAGCTCCAGCCTCAAAGTTCCAGGTTCAGCTTGGAGCTCTCCCGTGACCCGAGCTTTGAAACTTCGGCTGGTCCGGTGTGCCGGTGGCGAAGTCAGCAAAGCAAGAATATGCTCCACCAGCTGTCTGGACCAGGGGGCGAAAAAAATTTTTTTTTGCTTAAAAAAGTTACTCTGTAAGGGGGAGTAATCATAGTAATAACTAAGGGAACGAAAAGGGAAACTTCTTCGAGCACGAAAAATCTCTCTCTCGATAGAGAGAGGTCCCTGCACGTGCGGCAATTTTTGGAGGGGTAATTCCAGTTTAGTAGTAGTAGTGGGATGGATGATAGGATCCAAACGGAGTTCATCCGGAGAAAGAACTCCATCTATCAAAGGCGGAGTTGCCATCCCATCCCATCCCACTTCGACGATATTAATATTAATCTCTGGATGGAATGATGGAGGAGCCGTTGCTGCCCAATAATCCAACCATACTTTATTATACTTAAGCGAGCGACGACAGTAAGGTACCTTAGGTACTCCGTAATAATAATCCCCTTACCGAACTTACTCCGTACTCCCCTCCCCACACAGCTCCGTACTGTACAGTAGGACCAGCGTGCTTTATCTTCATTCTTTTTTAAAAGATATAGATATAAATAAATGCGAAACAGATGAGATCATGATAATTGTTCGATTGACTTGCAGTGGTAATTAATCACTAACGATGCAGAACACCAGTTGAAGGTCGACTGTTTTTTTTTTCGTGGGAATGCAATTGGCAAAGATGATTGGCTGCACCCGTCCACTGACTTGGGATGATACCTAAACGGGAAGCTGGGACAGACCCCGCAATCTCCTACAAGTCACCTCAACTGCATAACATAACGGATTGCTCTGGTGGCTGGTGCTTGGGTGCAATGGTACTACTGTACTCTGTACTTATACTGTACTTGTACTACATACCGGTTATGATAGTCGACAATGAAGGAGAACAGAGGAGAGGAGAGGAGAACTCCAGATTAGATATACTACAGATCGTCTATCCAATGCTTGTGTACTGTACATCAATGAAAACGGAAGAGACGGGCACCGAGTCCCGAGTGACCAAATAGCAACGAGCACAAAACCGCCGCCATAAAAAAAGAGATCAACGTCTGCACAATAAAACTCTATATCATCACCGTTCATCAATGCAGGCCCACCCTAATGCAATGAGAAAAAAAAAACAGGTGAGAAAGAAAAGAAATAAACCACTGTACAGCATGGGAATAGTAGATGAAAATGAACCCGCCAACTCCAACTTTCTCCAACTTTACAGGAGGCCATAACATACCCCCCGTCATGAAACGAAAAACGAAGAAAAAAAAAAGAAGGATCGAACGAAGAGGAGCGGAGAGGAAAGAAACATCCCGTCGTTCAAACCCTGTCGCCCTCGGTCTCAGTCTGACGGCGCTCGTTGACTCCTTGCGCCAACTTCTTTCCAATCTCATAGCTCGAGATCATGATGGCACACGCCGGTGCCACCTTCAGGCATCGTGCCACCCATCCCCTGAACAATCCAGAGAGCCCCTCTGTGCGAAAGATGTGGAACAGGAATTTGGGCATCGGCAGCTGTTCCGGTCGCAGCTCCGACCGCCCTACTGCTCCCGCATCGCGGACAGGCCCCGCCTTAGAGACAGTGTCACCACTCTGTCGGAAGACCTGCTGACGCGTCTTGCCAACATCAAATGGCGTCGTCACAAATGCGGCCGCTGCTCCCGAAAGAGAGCCGGCGACGAAGCTGTCAATAAATGTCGACGTCGAGTTCTGATGGGACTGCGATGCGCGACGACTTCGACGGGGCTCGACAGCACCCTGGCCACGGTGTGCCCTCTCCCGCAGATCGGTCAGGGCATTTCGAATTTGCTCGTAACCCCACCAGTAAAGACCAGAAAAGGGGACATCCCGCCACATCGTCAGCGTCAAGCCACGCCAGAGAGAACTGTATCCTTGTGCCTGAGTCATCTCGTGCAGTCCCCGCAGTGTCGCTCGGAAATGATCCGTCCCCGTGCCGGGCGTGGCTTGTAGCCGGGTTCGGAACATTTCGATCGGGCTGATGACAGAAGCTGCTGCAATTCTTGCCGCTGCTCCCGCGACTAAGGGGACATAGGCGTCCCCGATAATTTTGCGGATGGGGCTGCGAGGATCGGAACGTAACCAGTCGTAGCCAGTGAAATAGATCACATTGGCGGGAATGGCCATCAGGAGAGTTGGACTGAGACCCCGCCATAACGTCAAGGGTCCTTCGTAGCGAGCTATCTTCTGCAACGCATCTAGCGTCGAGGTAAATGTCCGTTGTCGCGTATGTTCGACCGCACAGTCGACAAGAATGCTCGAACCGCGGCTGGCGGACCCATTGCCGCCGACCAGACACATTTCGGCATTATTTCCCACCCAAAATACTTCCCGACAACACGCAGTAACCCCAAGATCCGCTGGAAGCGCTTTGAATGTTCGCGTTGTATGGGCGGTAAACCGAGACGGCTGATGAGCTGCGTTTGTCTGAGACTGCAGGCGCACACGGACGACATCAAGTGGTGTCACTATGCCAATTCGTCAGCAATCATCCCAATCACGCCGATTCTATCTTGCATCGCCAGAAATATCGAACGTACCCAGAAGTGAAGTCAAAAGGCTGCCCCAGGTGGCAGACAGCATCTTCTGGCCGGCCGACACCTGGTCGCCATCTATCTGCCCCTGGGCCGCAAGCGGGCCGCTATTTGCACTGGAAGACGCCATCGCCGGCCTCTCATAATGATTCCAGTCGTGTTTCTCACTGCCATCTGCATGTCCCGCCAGGTCAGACCGGTCCCGAAGTCTGTCCGAGCGGATCGGTTCAGACAGCACAGCGGACATTCATTCGCCAGGTCACCGACACAACGTGATGGTGCCGCGCGAACACACTGTAAGGCACAGCAACACACGGAAGAGACCTGGTTTGGGGAGGATTGGGTCGAGGAGGCGAGAAGAAGGCCGGAGGACTGTTCCAGCGATAATCCTAAGCCGGCAAACAACTTTGTCAAACAAGTTTGGCTGCTTACGGAAGCAGTGGCCAGCGGGCTAGCGTCGGCGCCCGCCAGCCAACCAGACGGCGCGGTGGCGGCGCGGAGCCCTAAGGAACTTAACTCGCTTCGTCAACTCCGTTTCTCCCGCCGGTCTCGCCGCGCATCGACCAGCCTGCTCCGTTTCGATCCTGTTCCAGTGATTGCTCTGCTTGGTATCGATATCGAGCTTCCTGCCTCCGTGCAGCACTCGTCTTGCGTCGTCTCGAGTCTGCTTCGACATGGACCTGCGCTGATCGCTGCCATACGATTGTTACTTCGCTCTCAGCAAGCCCACCGCAGCCACCCATGGATGTTCCCCTGCCGGCTCCCGACCGTACACTTTGACCTTTCTGCCTGGCTCCGACATGGAGGACAACGCGGAGCTCGAGTCCTTTCGACGCCAATGGCGTGAAGAAGTCTCGCGACGCACGAAGGCCGCGTCAACCTCGCAGCCGCCATCGCAGCCGTCCGTCGCGTCCTCCGCCGAGCAGGAGCGCGTCCCGCCCACCCGCCACGAGGCTGCAAACCGGAAGGAAGACGCCTACGAGGAGGATTTCGCGCATCACGGCTATGGAGAGTTTGTCCAACAGGTCGAGCAGCTGACCCTGCAGACGGTGGATGACGATACGTTTCAACGTGCTCCGCAGAGGGAGCCGCGTTCGGCGCTGGAGCACTTTGAAAAAGCAGTGCAGAAAGAGGCGGAGGGCAATTTGGGCGACAGTTTGAACCACTATCGAAAGGCATACAGGGTAAGTCAACCGGCTTCATCGCTGATTCACCACTGACGTGTCTCGCAGCTCGATTCTAGCGTCGATCAAGCATACCGCAAGAAACACTTTGCCTCGTCCAAGCCGCCGCCGTCCAAAGACGCGAACCTCTCCGCTGCCAAAGACACCACCGGTGCACAGGAAGAAAGCAAGCCGCTGTCTACGCCAGAGCTTATTCTCTCCTTTGCCAATTTGCCGATTCCGCAGGCTGAACCCCTGATCGAGAACACACCCCCACCGCCATGTCCTATCGCCAAGGTTCCGTCGGACGTCCTCGTCGAAATCTTGAAACACGTAGCTCTGATGGATCCCGCCTCGTTCTGTCGCATGGCTCTGGTGTGTAAACGTCTTGCATACCACTTTGCCCACGAACAGCATATCTGGAAGAGCTTGTGCCAGACACGCAAGTTTGGATTTGAGGGCATGCACTACTCGTTTTGCTGCGACGTGGCCGGGAACCGCCTCCATACGCTGGGTCCACGCTACACGCCATTTCCTCGTGGGGTCCCGGTACAGATCCCCAAGCCGCTGTCCACCTGGAGTGAGGTCTTCCAGATTTTTCCCCGGATCCGATTCACGGGCATTTACATCAGCACGGTAAACTACACGCGGCCTGGAGCGGCGTCTTCGTACGATAATGTCACCTGGAATTCCCCCATCCACATTGTGACCTACTATCGTTATCTTCGCTTTTACCCAGATGGGTCGGTCATTTCGTTGCTCACCACGACGGAGCCGACGGAGGTGGTCCCGTATATCAGCAAGGAGAATGTGGCCGCTGCCAGAGCGGCAGCTCAGGGCCATCATCAACATCAACGTCAGAAGTCCGACTCCGGTTCCGCAGGAGCAGTGGTGCCGGCGAACACAGTTCCTCCGACCGCCATGGCAACCTTGAAGCATGCTTTACGGGGTCGTTGGCATCTCACTCGTCCCCCACCGGCGAATCCCGAAGAGCAGCAGATCGTACCAGAGCAGCCTCCTTCGGGCTCGGGCCCTCCGTCCATGAAATCCGACACGACCTCAGGGCCGGATCCCCGAGATCTCGTGGTTGAGACGGAAGGCGTCGATCCCAAATACACGTATACCCTTCACCTCTCTCTTCGTTCCTCTAACCCTGCCCGGCATGCCGGGTCCGACAAGCCACCGCCCAATGTGTCCAAAAACACCAGACTGATCTGGAAGGGTTTCTGGAGTTACAACAAGCTGACCGATGACTGGGCGGAATTTGGCCTGCGAAATGACCGTGCTTTTGTCTTCCGGCGGGTGAGAGGATGGGGGATGGACTGAGTTTGTTTCTTCGATGGGCCTTTTTACGATAGACGCGTTCAGTCGGGTCTGGCGTTATCTGACTTGATTCGGGTGATTCGGCATGATTTGAATGATTTGACATGATGCACTGTATTGACCATGATGCACTGTGTAGATATACTCGAGATATATGCGATGTATATACAGAGTACAGTACACTGTGAGACGACGAATGCATGGTTGCATTGCACAATGTGATTTTTTTATCAGACTGTCGTTATAATTAGTGCTGATTCAGTAATAAACCTCATTTTCTAAGTTTTAGAAAGTAATATAGTGTTTGGACTGTAAATTCGCTGCAGTCGGAGCATGCCTTATCGGGTCGCTTATCGATAAGCTTAAAAGTTGCGGCGGTCCAACTCGGACCCCAAAAAAAATATTTGGGGAACCAAACCTGACGCCCTAGCAACTTGCTTGCCTTGCAGCATCCTCATTTAGAAGATACCCAGCATGTTTCCTTTACGATTGTAGATTATAGCATTTTTCAATATACTATTTTTGCATTATCTTGTGGCGTTTTTGTTTTGTCGTGCTGAGCCAAGATGCCGGAAAGGGTGCATACGAGGTTTGACGACGACTCGGACGATCAGAGCCAGAGCGTCGCAAAGAAGCCTGAGGAGGCGGAGAAGCAAAAGCCAGCGACATCGCAGACGAATAATGAAGAGCGGCAGAAGAGCAAGAAGCGGAAAAAGGAGGCCTTTCAGGGGGAACAATCCGGTCGCGAGCAGAAGAGGCAGACACCAGATGCAAGTGCCAATGGCGACCATCCCAAGGGTAATAATAACTCACAGAGCGCGAAAAAGCACGACAAGCCTTCGCAGCAATCGAAACAGAACTCGTCTCATTATCCATCGTTGAAAGAGAAAGCCAAGGCGCTCTATGAAATCCGCAAGAAGCTCCCCATCTTCCCGCACGCGGAGGAGATACGCCAGCGACTGCGCACCAGCAATGTGATGCTGCTGGTCGGAGAGACGGGAAGCGGCAAGAGTACGCAGATCCCGCAGTTCCTGGTCGACGAGGCCTGGTGTCGCCCGAAGAATGTCAAGATCAAGCAGGAGGACGGCACGAAGAAAGATGCCACCGTGGGCGGGTGCATCGCCATCACGCAGCCGAGGCGAGTGGCAGCCATCTCGTTGGCGAGACGTGTTGCCGAAGAGATGGGTACGCCCCTGGGCAATTCCTCGCCAGCGAGTAAGGTCGGCTACTCGGTTCGTTTCGACACGTCCACGTCGCCCAGCACCAGGATCAAATACTTGACGGAGGGAATGCTGCTCCAGGAGATGCTGCATGACCCGTGGTTGACGAAATACAGTGCGGTCGTCGTGGATGAAGTCCATGAGAGGGGCGTCAATGTCGACCTGGTCTTGGGTTTCTTGAAAAAGATTCTCTCCAGCAAGGGAGAGGGCCGCGGTGGTGTCCCGCTGAAGGTGGTCGTCATGAGCGCAACGGCTGATATGGAAAGTCTGCTCGAATTCTTCAATGGAGATTCTGCCAAAAGCAGTAATGATTCTAATAAAGATTCGAGTGATGCCGCCAATGGTGCTACCGATTCGAAGAAGTCGGAAAACCAGATCTCTGTATGTCATATCAAAGGCCGCCAATACCCCGTCAAGGTCATCTACTCTCCACAGCCAGTCAACGACTTTGTGGATGCCGCTCTTAAAGTCATCTTTCAAATCCACTACAAGGAGCCTCTGCCAGGAGACATCTTGGTCTTCCTCACCGGACAGGAAACGGTGGAGAATCTGGAGTACCTGGTGAACGAGTACGCGATCGGCATGGATCCGGCGCTGCCCAAAGTCCTCGTTCTGCCTCTGTTTGCTGCTCTTCCCCAGGCGGCGCAGCAGCGGGTCTTTGTGCCAACGCCTCCGCGTACCAGGAAGGTCATCCTGGCAACGAACATCGCAGAAACGTCCGTCACTGTGCCCGGAGTTCGGTACGTAGTTGACTGCGGAAAGGCCAAGATGAAGCAGTTCCGGACGCGGCTGGGTCTCGACTCGTTGCTGGTCAAGCCGATTTCCAAGTCTGCTGCGATCCAACGGAAAGGTCGAGCGGGACGAGAAGCGCCGGGGCAATGCTACCGACTGTATACGGAGAAGGACTATCTGGCCCTGGATGATGCGAACACGCCCGAGATCCTGCGGTGCGATCTGAGCCAGAGTATTCTCACGATGAAGGCCAGAGGGGTGGACGATATCATGAACTTCCCTTTCCTGACGCGGCCTCCGCGAGAAGCGCTGGAGAAGGCGCTGCTCCAGCTGCTGAACATCCAGGCGCTCGACGAGACGGGGAAAATCAGCGAGCTGGGGTTGCAGATCGCCAAACTGCCCCTGACGCCGCCGTTGGGGAGGGTGCTCCTATCCGCTGCGGAGTACGGACAAAGCTGTCTGCTGGATGTCATCGACATCATCTCGTGCCTCAGCGTCGAGAACATCTTCCTGAACCCTACGTCGGAGGAGAAGAGGGAGGAGGCGGAGAACGTTCGACGGGACCTCTTCCGGAGGGAAGGCGATCACTTGACGATGCTGGCTACGGTGCAGGCCTACGCGGCGGAGAATGTGGATCGCAAGGCATGGGCAGAGAGGCATATGGTATCACACCGCGCGATGCAGTCAGTGATGGTATGCAGTCATCTTAATATTATTATCCCTGTATTAGTCGACATAACACTGACGGAGTTTACTTGCACAGGATGTCCGCAAACAACTCATCGCACAATGCAAGCAAGCCAAACTCCTCGACGAGAAAAACAACCAATCCAGCAACAGCAACAGCAACAACAACAACAACAGCAACTCTTCTTACTCTGTAGCCCCCATCCTAAAATCCTTCCTAACCGGCTTCTCAACCAACATCGCCCGCCTCGTCCCCGACGGGTCCTACCGCACCATCGTCGGCAACCAGACGGTGGCCATCCACCCGTCCAGCGTGCTGTATGGCCGCAAGGTCGAGGCCATCATGTACACCGAGTACGTGTTTACGACGCGCAGCTATGCGAGGGGTGTGAGTGCGGTGCAGATGGATTGGATTGGGGAGGTGTTGCGGTAGTAGTCAGGGAGGTAGGGAGTTAACTGCTTATGAATTGTATATACATGGATGGATTTATGGATGGATGGATTATATTGTACTGTACGATACTTTCCTCCCTGTATTGTTTACGCTACGTATTCTTTAGTGAAATACATGAGATGAAAGAAAATAGACATAACTTTTTAATTAGATATATGACTTTTTTAAATTTTTTTAATTTTTTAAAAGCTTTGACACTAATTACAGATGGCTTCACTTCATGTGACCTGATTCTGGCCTCAGGCTTTCTTTTAAGCTTTTCCTTGCTTGCTTGCTTTGTTATACAAGGTAGCTAGACAGACAGACAGTCAGTCAATGAAAATCTCCCTGATCCTCCTTTGACTTTTTTTTTCTCTGACCTCAGCATAGATCGGACAATCTGACAGTTTGTTTGGTCATTCCTTGAGTGTGTGTTAAGTCAGGTCAAGTCACATAAAATCCTCAGCTGGATTCAGACAATGTGTGTGATGGAGATATTAGTCTGTGTGAAATAAAGCTATATATATTTATTTATTTATTTATTTATTTATTTATTTATTTATTTATTTATTTATTTATTTATTTATTTATTTATTTATTTATTTATTTATTTATTTATTTATTTATTTATTTATTTATTTATTTATTTATTTATTTATTTATTTATTTATTTATTTATTTATTTATTTATTTATTTATTTATTTATTTATTTATTTATTTTGAAGCCTCTCGGCACAAAGTCGGAAAAAGTGAGAGATAGATTCCTCAGCCAGTTTAACTCATCATTGTCTGTCTGAGATTGCTCGGCATAGGTTGGGAAAAAGTGAGGTTTGGTTGGTCATGCTTCTCACGAGGTTAGGTCAGGTCAGGTCATGTCAGACAAGCCTGGCAGGAAGATTTGAAGCTGTTCGGAAGGTTTACTGTTTCGACATATCGACAACCAACTTCCCACCACACCCGCGATGATACTCCGCAACGAGGTCATTCAGCTTGGACAGAGGATACGTCCTGGTAACAGCCTTGACCTGATGACGGGCCGCGAATTCGAGCATTTCGGCCGCCTGTCTCCGACTACCGAACAGGCTCCCCACGACGGCAATGTCGCGAAACACGACGTCGTGCGAGGACAGATGGAAGCCAGCCTTGGGGAAGGACACGACGACGCATTTCCCGTGGTTCCGCAGCAGCGTGACGCCGTAGTCAAAGGCCTGCTGGCTCTCGGGCAGGATGATCACCGCGTCAAGGCCCATCTCGCTGCGGTGCTGTTTGCCGTCGCGCTGGCCGACCTCTCGCGCGACGGCGTCGGCGTCTTCGCGTCTGGCGTCGACGATCCTGGCGCCTGTGTTGAGTCCCCGAGCGAGTGCCAATGGCTCATCTGCGTTGTCGACGCCATACACCTCCAGACCCATCTTCGCCGCGAATTGCAGACCTAGATGTCCCAGGCCTCCGCCACAGCCAATGATCCCAATCCGCTGACCTGGTGACAGAGCGCACTTCTGGATTGCCGCGTATATCGTGACGCCCGCGCACATCATAGGAGCTGTCTGTACCGGAGTCATCCCCTCCGGGATCGGGATCAGCTGCCTGGCGTCCACGACGGCATATTCGGCAAACCCGCCGTCTCTGCTGATCCCACTGACAAGACCCTTGGGACAGATAGTCGAGAAACCGGGAGGGTCCGTCGTTGGACCCGTATCGGTGCGGCATTCGTCACACTCGCCGCAGACATGGTACTTGTTGCAGCAGACAGCGACTCGTTCGCCAGGGCGGAACAGCCTCAACGACGCAGCAGCAACAGCAGTAGTAGTACTCTGCTCGTCAGGGACAGCCACCACCGTGCCCACAAACTCATGGCATCCGATGATGGGGAACGAGGGCGGATGCGGGGGCATCAGCCCGGCGGCCAGCACGGCGTCCGTATGGCAGAACGACGCCGCATCGACCTTGATCAGGACGTCGTAAGGCGAGGTGAGAGCCGGAAGAGGCACCTCACGGAAGTCGTACGGTTTGTTGAAGCCGTCCAGACATTGCGCTTTCATTGATGCGGGGGGCGATGCAGCAGTAGCAGTAGCGGTAGCCATGGTAGGCAGTCAATCAGTATGTTTTTGCTTGTCGGGAAGAGAAGAAGAAAGGAAAGAAATCAATCGATCATTGTCGATTGATGTATCGCGCTAATTTGAAACCCGTCTTGGAGATGTCCATAATCCGATTTCCTTTTATTCAGCATTGTTTATTAATAGATCGCTGTCTTGTCTAGACAGTCAGGTGGGGCAGCATTTTAACGACGACAAGCTTAGAAGCTTCTTCTCTGAACCCCACTTGGAATTTGTAGATTTGTAATCGCTGGATAAAATGAATACCAAGCTCCGTTCCACTCTAAATGGTGAAAAGATGAAATAAAGATAACGATAGATAATATTGAGTAATTAACCTTTTATTTAGAAAGGCATATATATGTTGTGTCTTATCATGACGTATACGTATCAAATAACAAACAAGACAGTGATCACTATTCAGCTGATTGAGAAAGCTCAATTGATTCAATAGTGGACAACAGTCCCAGTCTATATATATATATATATATCCAACAGAGCAGGCCTCATCAAAATGATTACCTAAAGCATGAGAATATGAGTTTTAGGGATGAAGGATAAAGTGTTTTTTTTGTATCATAATGGTAGATTATTTAATAAATCTAAGCTAGCAAGGAAGCAGCGCATATTGCAGTCTTACAACAGAAAGTAAAAAGTAGATTTACCTATATAGCAGGTAAAGCAGGTAAGTGATCGACCATTCTTTCTTTCATGTTTACATATACTAACCGCAGCAGAGCAGACAAAGTCAGGTCAGGTGAGTTCCTCCTCACTTAGGTATTGATGGAAAAATGCTACGAATCCAGCAGCAGCTAATAATCAAAGGGGAGAAAAAAAGGTCTGTGACTGGGATTCATTCATTCTTCCGAGCCATATTGTCGAGACAAACATACTACATGCATTATTTATTGAAGATGGTCTCTTGTCATTCTTTTTTATTGCTTTCTTTCTCTCTTTTATATGTTCTATGCAAATACGATCCGAATACCCCCAAAGCAGTAACATAGCGAAAATAATCACCAAAAAAAATCATTTCCTTTCTCTCTCCATTTTCTGTTTATCTGTTATTTCCCTAATTGAGTAAGATTAATCTTGTCTAATTTTTTTTCTCCACACACAACTCGACGTAGACTTGATATTATATTGATATAGCTTGGACATGGACATAGAACAGGAACATATATATGTAGTAATAGCCATGGAAGACTAGGTACGTATGCACATCCAAGGTTAGATAGACAGGACAGCAAGAAGCTAGTAGGAGCAGGATTACCAACCTAACTAATTAACGATCAGCAGAATGCCTTATGCCTTGTCGTGCCTTGATGTTCATATATATGCCCCGTAATGTCCATGCCACGTCCATCCAGTCGAGTCGCGTCTGGTCGCGTCACTCGGTCATACGACCTAGTGCTATGTAAAGCGTCAGCAAATCGATCATCACGAGCAGCAGCAGAAGCAGCAGCAGCAGAATACTCACACCGCAGGTAGTACAGTTGCAATTGTTGCAGCCCTTGGGGCAGGAGCAGGCGCTGCACGTACAGGGGATCATGTTTGCTGTGTAGTATAGGGTACAAAAAAAAGCGGAATGCTCTTGATGGCAGTTAAGTAGGTAGCAGTAGTATTGATTGACTGATTTGATTAATCGTCGTTGTTACAGAAGGAAAAGATATGCTGGATCAGCAATCCAGTATATATATAGTAAATTAGTAGTAGATACCTACCTAGGTCATCATTACTCCCAGCCTATGCTTTTCTTTTAATTTCCCTATGACACGCGTATTGGTCATTCCTTTTGCTACGGCAGCAGCAGCACAGCAGTAGAAGAAAGAAGAAGAAAGAAGCTTCTTCGCGATAAAGTTCAATGTCAGACGTCTAGACGGATAAGGCCGGGAATGATTACAAACGTAGGTATGACTATCTACCTAGGTACAGTACACAAAACTTAGGTTACTGGTATTGTGCTGTACCTTTTTTTTTTCGGTAGGTACTGGCTGTTGTTTACTACATACTGTACATTATGTATGGCACCTAGTAAAGGAAATTATGATCAATCAGTCGTATGCACATTTCTGAGAGTGGAAGGATTAGTGTAACTACCTCCTGCTTAATCTCCCTAATCTAGTAGGTACCTCTACGTCCAATATCATCAGAGACAGCACTCTGGGAATTCCCCGAACTTCCGGATTTCCATGTCTCACTCTCAACAGCTACCTACCTAAGCAGGTATCTGTCTGATCAAGTCCGTCGGACCGCAGGGATCGACTCGCGGAATCGAATTGGTTCAGAATGACATCACTTCTTGCTTTCCCATCACATTCCCCTCGCCAGATCTGATAAGGTCACTGTGCCGTCATGCATGTCGCAGATGTGACTCGTCTGACTTGCAGAGAGATAAACTAGGGTTTCTGTTCCAGAAATGACTTTTCGCAAGAAGCTGCCTTTCTTTGTTGTATTGGATGGGAAAATCTCCGTCGTTGGGTTATTGCGACATGTGCTCATAATTGTCCAAGTAATGACTGGACGTATGGAACGACTCTCCTATGAAATGGATGTGCTATGCCGTTGCCAATGCAGGGCTGTGTTCCTTAACTACTCGCTTGCTTGCTCTTCTGTGTCGAATGACTCTACCTTCTCACCAATGTCCTGTCTATTCTATCTCATGAGAGAGAAGAGAAATATCGAGGATGACACGAAGCGAGCAATAGTCTTAGAATCTTATTCTCGATGTCATATGAAACCCGGTGGGACCCCGAGCATCTTCCCGAGTCTGGATATTCAACGACCAATTACTCGACGCATAAGCAACAAGGTGCTTGGCAACTAGTAGATTCCGGCACAATTGAGCGCGTGTAGAATTTCACTTTCGAAATTGTCAACTGTAAATAGGTTATGCAAGCTCTAGCTTGTGTTTGCCCAGCCTCAGGACCATCACCCAGGTTCTAGAGCAAAATGACCCTTCCTCAGGAATCTTTGGTTGGTTTGTCATGAACTCATCTGTCACATCTTATAATTGATGGTAATAGGGGTCGGAGATCATCTTATCGATGATATCCAATAACATGTTCAAAAGGGCGCCGTAAATTCCCTAATCGCAGTCTAAAACGGCTGTCTGCTCTTTGTCAATCCACTGAATATGATTCATCTGATATTGTCTTTCTACAATTTGAGTATCGCTGACCGTGCCACTGTCTCAGCGTCCCTGTAAGCTTGGCTCATGCGTCCCGAGTAGAATGAGACGGAGGCAGATTGGCTATCGTCAACTGTTTTATTTCCAATGGACTCTGCCGAATTCTTGCAAATGGAAGATTTCCCCTGTCCTGAGGAGACTGTAATCCATGAACAGTCCGAATTTGGTGCAACGCGCTCCTGTTCCATGAACGGGCTCGCCATCGACTGGCCTCTGAACAATTCTTTTTCTGCGTCGACGATGCAGCGTCCAACGTCAGACACCACCCTTTCAGCCTCCCTCAGCACATCAACATACTTCTTCTTGGCGGTCGGGATCCCTGTCACTCCACATAAGTGATCAATAGTCGTCCGTATATAAGCAAAACAAACAGGAGACATACAGGGGGCTGCCGTGAACTGTTTGATGTGATCCAGGATTTGAATATAATCCATATCTGATCGGGAAGAGAACTTTACCAGCGAGGAATGGTCCCTGAGAAATGGAATCTTGATAACCTCTGACTCCGGTAGACCGATGTTTGTGGCGGACTCTTCCGTCACGAGGAGTTTGCGCATCCCATCCTTGATTATGGCACCATCTGCCCCTTTCTGTACAGAAAAACAACTTATTAGGACTGAGTCGAGTTGAATTTGGGGAAAATTGACGCTTGGCTGCCGATTACGCACTCTGACAGTATAACTCAACTTTCGCTCGAAGATCGCCACTGCTGGAATATAGTAGCCCTTGCAACACTCTGTAAATCGTCGTGCCAGCATTTTTAGATAAGATGGCGCTTCCGACTCTTTATATACAACCAAGTCTTGCACAAGTTGTTCGTTGGGTTGGTTTTTCACAAGCGTTCTCAGACTGTCGTTCCTCAATCCAAGATTCGGCACGCCAAAGAAAAGTAAACCAGCACAGTCTCTTAGCAGACTCAACTTATGGCGATCATTTTCACCCTCTCTAGCTCGAACTAGAGCCTGGGAGATTAAATGATGAGTCTCAAATCGAGGAAACTTGCTTTAAAGAACAGGAAAAGGCATAATTACCTCTTTAACAACCAACCCTCCCAGGCTATGTGCGACGAAAATAATTTTCCGGTCGGAAGACTAGATTCAATAGGTGAGATTATTTCTCGAAACGATTGTGGTACCACATACCCTAGTATACCGGCGAAACGCTACAACAGATCGAAGGAAATGCTCAGCAATATCTCCGATCGACAACGTCCAATCGTCTCTGTTTAGGGTGGTATCATAGCCGTAAAGGAGTACTCGAACATTAGGCACGTCCTGCGGAAGAAAATCGCGGAGCCAAACATCATGGCCATTTGTAGCCTTCCAGGAACCTAACGGATGGCTTCCAAGACCCGGAACAGCGATGATACTTTCATCACTTAATCACCATTACTGAATCACAAGGTTCGACTTATCCGATATGGAATTACTTACTCAACAACAGGCTCCGTCTGAGCTGGGCCTTCAAAGACTGGCGTTATTCCCAAGAATTTCGTGTCAAAAAGGAGATCGCCAAGCCGGATTTCCTCGACGGTTTCCTTGTCTAGGGCTGCCAGTTTCGCAGGGAGAGAAGAAAATGTGACACAGGCGTACGACAACGAAGATGTGGTGTGAACTAGAGAAAGATCCAGCACCCGTACATCATCGTCCTTGGGATTCGCTGATAGGAGATCTTCTATCTCCCGCTTGAGAGCAGTTTTATCGAAACCTTGTGGAATATCCCGAACACGAACCGCTCGTGGCTTCTTCGGTTTTGGTGAAGAGTCTGTACTCTGCTTCTTCCAGAGTAGGGAAGACAGAAACATGGTGATCGGGACCGTTATTGTTGACAACACCACGCTGGAATTGGTGGACGAAGACGATGAATTTGATCAATTTAGCAATATATGAGATACAATTCCCAGCTTGACATGACTGAAAACGGCGGTTAGGGAACAGCAGAATCATGAGGATCTAGGCTGATCATAACCCAGCCATGGATTCCATGCCTCGGGTTCGTGCCTGCTTCATCGGCTTTTCGACAAAAACTGCGGGCAACTGCATCATGATTCGGTCAATGAAACGCTCGTTGAAATCGACCGAATAGTTGACCCAATGAAGTACTATGTTAAGGCCTTGATGGTGACAAGGCTGAGACCCCACAAGGATACATACGGCGCCAAAATCTTCAACGTCGTTGGCCAAGAACTCAAGTCCGTCATCACAACTAAGATGATCAACACCAACGGATGGTACGAAATGCATCATCGTCTGTCTTGTCGCCTTGTTGTTTCAACATGGAGTTACTGAAATCCCTTCGTTGGACAATGAGAGTTCCACAGGTTGTTCTGTTACCGCAAGGTGCGATGGCTATGCGCAAGGCTGACAGGCCAACGAAATGTTTCGACTAGGCGCTCTGGCCATGAAACAGGGCTAATTGGATCAACATTCAGCCTCACATTTCCATGCAAAAAAAGCCCAACGTTGTAGATCTGTCTGGGCGTAGAGAAATGCAGATATTCCACTTTTTTGTCATGGGTGTATCCCACGCTACTGAGCTGAAAAGGCGATATAGATCACAAGCAGGCTGTTCCTGGAATAGTTCTCCAATTAAAAAAATATGTTGGCGAATAATCCGAGTCCTTGGAAAGAAATGCTTTGTCCTTTCAACGTCGATAACCAGCTCTGTCCAGAGCTTGACAATCTCACAGCGGAATCGTTGCAAAACAGCTCGCAACATCTGCCTGGATATCCGCGCCTGAAGCTGAGAGACAAGAATGCCGTTTTGGATTTCCTGGAGAAGGAAATGTGTTCGCCGGACCTGGAGCGAGTGGCTGACAAACTATGGTGGATGTCGAAGCAGGACTCGGCGAGCATCTCTCCACTCCATCGACAAAGGGTAAAGAGACGAAAGGTCATAGTCACAGAAGATCCCAAATTGCACCTGGTCTGGATGTATGACCAGATCTTCATCAAGCCTCTACCAAAATACCTTCTCTCCCACAAATTCTGGACCGTGTATCTCTGCCAACTGGATACGCCTCAGACCCGAAGTCGGGTGGATCGAATTCGCAGAGCGGCACTGGGGTATCTGCGAACGTATTACCATCTGGTGCGCTATGAGTCGGATTTCAGAATGGCTATGGGCCAGGGAGACGCTGGCGCGGACAATCCTCGCCTTCTTCCACCGGGAATCACCTGGGAACAGTTCTGCGCGTTCTCGTCAGACTTCGCCTTGATTCGAGACAGCGACGTTTCAGGGCGTTACGCATACGGTGAGATCCGACTGACGCGCCTCAACTTCTATGCACCGCTGCTTCTGGGACGACCCGATTTCCAGCGAGTCGAATATCAGTCTGGTGCTTATTTCGCCCGCCTGTATTCGCCACTGCTCTTTGTCTTTGGTATATTCTCGCTCGTTCTGAGCGGCTTCCAGGTGGCGCTTGCTGCGGAGCAGGTTGCTCCCATGGTTGGAGACCAGAGCGCCCTGCTTCGTACGGGCCTCTGGTTCAGCGTGGTGGTCATTGGCTGCCTTGTGGCCTTGATGTTAGCACTGTTTTGCATCCTGGTCTGGAGAATTGGGAGAGAGTGGAGATACGCGATTCGAGACCGCTTGCAGAAGTTGAAGGAAGCTCAGGAAGGCGCAGAGAACAAAGTTTGAGGAAAGTACAACCATGTGTTGCAATGTGCCATGATGAGATGACTTATTTAATGACCAGATAGCAAAGCTGGATATGGCATTCTACTCAAAATAGATCATTTTTGTTTCAATCGAGAGGTTTCAATTTACGAATAGGAATCAATCGATTGGTCATCACATGCATTTCATTCCGGGCATCTAGGGTATTATTAGGTATAATTTTCATGCTAAAGACAACCCAACCATCACATCTCAGACGTATCGGCCATCATCGCTGCGGGATGAGCTTATAGTTTCCTCCGCTCACAATCTCCAATTTCCCTTGAGCAACCATTCCAGCAAGAAACTCCCTCAAGTCCTCATTGCTGTAGGGGAACCCGCCCGGCACGGCAATCTTGAGCATCATAACTATTCGTTGCAGTGGCATGGCACCTTGATTGGTCAACATGCCGACGATGAACTGCCAGTATAGATTCATCTTCTCCATAGCTGCTGCGTTGGCAGACTCTCTCTCCGCTGCTGCTGCCGCATCCGCAGCGGCCGCAGCACTGGCCTCCGTCGAAGAGTTGCCAGCCATGTCGGAATCAGCACCGCCTGCCGCGTCCCGTTCTTCTTCATTAGGGAGCACCTCGAGGACCCGGAAGGTATCCCGCTGGACTTCAACAAGGATCCTTTTGCTCACCCAGAAGAGGCAGGCGCTGCGTACAAGAGACGCCGGCATCTCCAGTTGGTCGGATAACTCGGCAACAGTCTTTGTCACCGGACTTGTAGATGATCCTGTATGGCCGCCTGGAGACTGGAACGCGTAAATCACAGTAGCTTGCCAGGTAGTTACTTCGTCCGTAAAAACGCGATCTTCCAGGTCCAATTCTACGGTTACTTGGCCAAGTGCATTGAGCCATGTGAGTTTGCGTGACTGTTTAAGCGATTCGAAACCGGCAGCATATCGTTGCTGCAGGGAAGCAATCTCGTCCGGAACCTTGAAGTTCTGGTCTTGAAGTGTTGGCCAGAAAAACCGTGAAAGGATCTTTGCGTGCAGCTGTGGCATTTCTTCAGCCTGCTCTGCGGCTGCCATGCTTCGGTCAGGCGTCATAGCTTCCTGGGAAGGCTGTTTGCCGATCAGGCCCTGATCACTCCTGACAACTGCGTCGACCCGTTTTGAGTCCAAGACATCTCGCAGCATGACCTCGCACGCTTGCAAAGCCCCATCCCCGAAGCGAACTTTCAACAACTCCAGAACTGACATCTCCTGGTCGAAATCAGCCCGCTTCTTAAGCAAGCGCTCCGACAAGAGATTCTGGAGTTCCTTCACAAAAGCTTCTTTGGATTCAAACAGGCTGATCAGACTTCCAATGACATCTGATCCCTTCGACTTTTTGTAGTCGGCTGCTGCATCAATAGGATCTGGCATCCAGTTCATGTCATCCCAATCCAGCTCTCCAGAGTCGACTTGGAGAGATTGTTGATGGGCTTTGGATAATTCAGCAGATAGTTCGACCAATGTATCGCTGCTAGATGCCGTATTTTGTCCTTCCGTATCTGGCGCATCCGCTAGGAGACCACTAACGATCACCTTGACAGTGTCTTCGCGATCCCTTAGGTACTTCCTAATTGGCCGGGCGATTCTATCCAGAAGGACTCCTTTCGGATCCAAGAGATTGAATGCCCGAATGATCGAAATGTAAAGCTGCAAGATCTCGACCGTGGAGGCTCCTGGATGTAGGAGCCGTTGGTTAAGCATGCCGATAAACGAAGAGGCCAAGGAGAATCTTGTGGCTGGGTTGTTTGCGTATTGCCTCAAGTCTTCGATCGCTCCACTGCTCGAGTCCCACTCGACAATCACATCGAAAAGCTCACTGGTGCGAAGTGCACCAAGGCGAGCGATGGCTATTTCCTGCCATTTTCCCACGTCACCGAGGGTAACATCCAACTGACCCTCAGTTCTTCCCTCCACGTCGTATGGCCTAAAGATATTCAGTACTTCCACCACAAGTCTGGCAAAGACGTTCTCCGTCCACAATCGCAAGTGCTGAGTGACGAGGGACGGTGCCTCCCACTGGCCCGTGTACGTGGCCGTTATAAATTCAGTCATCATATTATTCATGACTCTTGCAAAAGCTTTTTGACCCCTCTCGCCGCCAAGTCCCACATCCTGCACGCGCCCAAGAAGCCGCAGTAGACGCTCTCTGGCTGCAGAGATTTGGGCATCCTCCCCTTCTGTCATCATTTGTATGCGAGCGGCTTCCGAAGGCTCATCTTTCCAGACACGGTAAGAGGTAGAATACTTCCGGTCAATGTCCATATCATCCATGCCGCCGTCATTTTGGTCGCCTGCTTCAGAGTAGACCGCTCTCTCTTCCTTTGCGCTTTCAATGCCCAGAATCACAACGGCTCCATTTGTGAGCTCGGTTGCAAGCAGCGCAGAAGTTCGAGAAGAGGGTAACGAGTAAGCGACGATGGCATGGAAGCTTCGTCGAAGCCTCAAAAAAGCGGCCTCCTGGTCAGCAGCATCCAGGTGCGGCACCACAAACCTCAAGAAAGGGGTATAGTAAATTCGCTGTGCCGATTGAAGGTACCCAACGATCTTGGACAACAACCCATCTTGTGCTGGTCCCTCTAGAAGCTTTATTTATCGTCTCAGTCCCGAGCCAGTCTCAACAAGATGTGCGATACAATACTTACCTGGACAAAGCCGGCTCTGAAATTTGTCAAAAAATGCCGGCGCATTTCATTCCCGTACCACTCAACCAGATCATGCTCCTTCAGACCAGCACGCAGAGCCCTTCCACGAGATGATGGCGCCAGCAAATACGCTAAGGAATCCGAAATCTCTCGTGAGGGGAGGCTGGAAGAATCCAAGCGCGAAGTAGTAGATTGCGCCCCATCAGGATCCCCGGTTGTTAACACTTCAAACCCCCTATCTGGAAAAGATAGAAACGTTGTCGCCGCATGCCAAGCTCGATCCCAGATGATCTGCTCTGGCGACGATTCTTCGATTTTTACGTCGCTCTCATTAGCAGCAGTGGATGGCTGCGTGGTCGTCCCGAGCGGCTGGTCCGGAGTAAACGCGCTCGCGGGGGTGGCACCAGTCGTAGGCGCGAGGCTTTTCAGCGACGTCGGTGCAAACACCGAGTCGAAGACGCGCTTGCGGCTCATTGAGAGGGGGGCATTTTGAGACATTTTGCCAGAGTTCGCTTCTCCTCCGGCAGCATCATGCCTGGATGCCCGTCGGCCTTCGTTTGGCTCCCGACGAGCGCGATCTCGCGGTGTTGCACGTGCCAAGAAATCACGAATTCACGTGATTCCATCATGACAAGATTGAGACTATTCCTAAAATGGTAGGTCCCAACAGGATTCTCATACTACTCCAGAGTATACGGATTATAGAAAATTCTTACTTTAATGCATGGAGAGAAACGGTTTTACATCGGAGCACTCATCAGCAAGAACCAGCTACTTCAGAAACGATGCTTGGAGGAATTTGTCACATCTGATTGGTCAAAGTCCTGAGGCCTGACTATTGGGTGAACCTGCTGCATCCAACGCTATGCCTCGACGATGGATAGATAATAACGTGATCAGTTATCCACCAACACTACTCTGTAATATAAAATAATCGTGTGCAGCAGCGCCAAGCCCGCAAGTGGACACTCCATGGAATAAATCTCCCCAGGCGAACCCCACGAGGCCCAGCTAGAGTTACAACTTACCATTCCAAGGTATATATATAGCAAAGAGGGAACACAACGACCCACACCGCCTTGGGTTGGACGAACTAAGTACATCTAATACTTTGTATACACACACTAGGGATTGATATGGCGTGCAATCCTCCCTGCTGACCAGTTTTAGTCCTTATGATGAACCTCACCACTTTTCTCCTGATCATCATGATCGAGCTATTCCTGCGATGAGCCCTATCATCATGACCTGGTCAACACCTATCTTTCCTCTCTGCAAAGGGCAAGGCCTTGTCACGGTTGAAGCTGTCCAAGCTTGGCAGAGGAGAATGGCGGACGTCTTGGAGCTTGCACAATGCTCCTCAAATTTGCCTTATTTGTGGGAATTGTGATGTTTGTTTGGTGTTCATTCAGTTCTGTGACGAGCTTGACAATGTCGATGGCGTCATGCAACCTGGCCCACACGGTTCTTTTTATACACTGTACATACACCTCTCTCTTTAATGTACTTTGTTTTAATTTACCTTGTTCATCCCTCCTTCCATGTCTTGAATTTATTTCATTTTCTATCAGAACGATGGTCGACCGTGTCGTTGGTTCGATTGAAGACCGCATTGTTGGCGTCCTTGGTGAGTGATGGTTACTCGCCTGTTCTCTTTTCCTTTGCAGTGGACGGTGACAAACAGGTCCCCCAGGTGGCGGTCAGTATGCCCGATTGCTCAGCGAAGCTGCGAGCCGACTATCCATCCCCCTCGTCGTCCTCGATCCTTCACCAGCGTCTCCCGCCAAGCAGATTAGCGCCGTCTCAGTTTTGCACCCATCTCTTGCGCATGTTGATGGATCGTATTCCAATTCAAGCGACATCCATGCCCTTGCCGAACGTGTCGACGTCCTCACTGTCGACATTGAACATGTCGACGTCCAGGCGCTCTTCCAGATACGCGATCGATATCGCACAACGGGCGGTCACCTTGGCAAAGGCATCGACATCTTCCCATCGCCGGAGACACTCGCAATTGTTCAAGACAAACTCTCTCAAAAAAGGTTCCTAAGCAAGTGGGACATTCCCGTCGTCGAGTTCCTCGACCTTCCCGACCCAACCGTCGAGAACATCGCCCAGGCAGCGGAAACCCTAGGCCTACCGCTCCTCCTCAAGGCCCGCAGGAACGCCTATGACGGCCGTGGAAACTTTCTCCTTCGTGATCTCGCCGATGCACCGCGTGCGCTGAGCGCGCTCGGGGGTGCGCTCTATGCCGAACGTTACGCGACGGACATTGTGCACGAGATCGTCGTTGTCCTCGTCCGCAATATCAAGGGCGAGATTCGCAGCTATGGCGCGGTCGAGAACGTGCACTGCGGCAAGATTGGCCACCTCGTTCGTGCGCCGTTGAGACAGGGAGGTAAGGACGTCTCCATTCGCGCGCAGTCGCTGGCGGAGAAGGCCATCAGTTCACTGGGCGATGGTGCCGTCGGTGTCTTTGGCGTTGAATTCTTTGTCTTGGACAACGGTAAGTCTACATGAACCTTTTTCTTCCCCTAGCTACCTGTTATTGATGTGCACTCCGGGGGGGCTTGTCAGGTACTTTGCTCGTCCACGAGATTGCATCTCGTCCGCACAGCTCAGCTCATTATACGATCGAGGCCAGTGAGACTTCGCAGTACGAAAATCATCTCCGGGCGATACTTTCTCTTCCGCTTGGCAGCACAGCACTCAAGGTGTTCTCGGCAGCGACACTGAACCTCCGGGGAACGCCTGAAACGACGGAAGAAGTCCGTTCAGTCGTGCGGCGCGCTCTCGAAACCAAAGGTGCGACTGTGCATCTCTATGGCAAGAAGGAGTCGCCTGGCAAGTCCGAGTCGCCAAAAGGACGCAAGGTCGGCCACATCACCGTCGTCGGCCCCTCTGATGCCGATGTGAATGAACGTATCCATCAGATCCTGGGGTCATCATCACCTGGCGACGACGACCCGCTCCTACCGAGGCCGCCAAAGTCGCATCCCCTACCGCTCGTGTCAGTCCTCATGGGTTCCGATTCCGATCTTCCCACTATGCGCGATGCCGCGCGCATTCTGGAACAATTCAAGGTCCCGTTCGAGACTCGCATTGTCTCGGCCCATCGCACTCCATCGCTCATGGTCCGCTTTTGCAAGGAGGCTGCCTCTCGCGGCGTCCGCGTTATTATCGCCGGCGCTGGAGGCGCCGCACACTTGCCCGGAATGATCGCCTCGGAATCGAACCTGCCTGTTGTCGGGGTGCCTGTCAAGGGCCCTACTCTCGACGGCGTTGACTCGCTGCACTCTATCGTTCAAATGCCGGTGAGTTTTGCATAATCCCACAGACTTGATTATCTGACGCTTATCCGTCACGCCAGCGAGGCGTCCCCGTCGCGACGGTCGGCATTAACAACTCGACCAACGCCGCTCTGCTGGCCATCCGCATTCTTGCCCTCTCTGATCCAAAGTACAGCATTGCGATAGAAGAGTACAGGGCAAACATGGAGCGAGTCGTGCTCGAGAAAGGCGACAGGCTGTACGAAGTCGGCTGGACGATGGAAGTTGGAAAATAAGACAGACAGACGTATTATTTTTGTCTGCCCCAGGGTTTCCCATTAATTATGCGCAGCGTTCTTTTTTTTTTCCACGATAGATCCTTCATTACTTAGAATCAAACTTTATATAGATTATTGAACGGCAAAAAAAAAAACGTGTCATTAATTTACTAAAGGCTCCAACCCAAGTCTTTTTTTTTCAGCGAGCCCTAAAATCACCCGACTTAATCGCCGACTTCGGGAGCAAAGTTTTTGAAAAAAAAAAGCCTTGCATAGCATACTGTATGTAGGTCTAGAAAAAATTGCATAAAAAAAATGAGACATAATTGACGGACTATGTATGGAGGAGTAATCTAGTCTAGATTCTTTTGAATCTTTTTCTATTTCGACGAAAGGGAACGACCGCACGAAGATTTCTATCTATCTAATTCTAATTCTTCACTCCGTTCTCCTCCTCCTCCTTCCTCTCAGCCCAAACAGGCTCGTAATACCAGCGCGGAACAGGAAGCTCGCTCCTCTTGATGACGTCCTCAAAGTTGTAGTTGACGAGCAGCTTGCCATTGCGGAACACGGGACGGAGCAGATTCTCCTCCCCTTCCTCCTCCTTGACCTCTTCGCGGCGGACGGTGCGGTATTCGCCGCCGCGAAGCACCAGTGCGAGCCGGCCGCGCTTGGATTGTTTCTGACTGTCGGTCTTGGGCTTCTTGTAGATATCCTTCCATTGGCCGTCGATGTTGACTGCGTTCGCCTTCTGCGTGAATGCGAGCGTGTCGCGGTTGATGTATTGCAGCAGGCCGCCGCCCATGCCGAGATAGAGGTTGTCCGCCGCCAGGCCGCGACGATCGAGCTCGGCGTAGATCTGCTTGAGCCTCTCGAGCGTCAGGCCGTCACCTTGCGCCGCGCGGATATAGTCGGGAAGGACACGGTAGCCCTTGGAGTTGGTCGTCGAGCCGAATTTGGCCATCAGACCTTCAATCGTTTCACTAATAACGGTGGCTGGATCTCCGGAATCCGGTCGCACCAGGATCGTGCTGCCTGTTGACACAGATCAGTTTCGATCGACAGTAAAAACCGATCTATTGGAACACCTACCGCTATTAATGACCTCGTCCTTGAGTTTTGTGCCGAATATGTCCCTGACAGCGCCCTCCAAGTCGTACGAGTCGGATACAGCAACCACGAATCCCCAACCCTTGTACTGCTTGATCAAGTTGGCATGGGCATCGACCTCGCGGTCCTTCCCCCACGCTGTCACCGTCGAGTGCTCCGAGTTGGGTTGGGAGATGGCAGGATTCAGAGCGTTGTAGTAGAGAGTGGCAGCGAGCGATCCCGAGATGGTGTTGGTCTGCCGGAAGTTGATGAGATGGGCCATGCCGCCCAGAGCGGCCGACTCCTGCGAGCTCACTCCACGAGCGCCGTAGTCTTGCAGCACATCGCGGAGGATCTCGGGATGGTCCGAAGTCTTCTCGAGGGCCTCCCGGATGAGTTGTTTGGCGAGCCAGCTCGTGGTCGCAACTGACGTGGGATACCAGATGGCTCGCAGGAGAGCCGTCTCGATGAAACTCGTCACCCAGAAGTACTTTGGATCCGTATTAACGATCTGAACGAGGACGTTCTTATTGGGCAGGACCGTTCCCTCAGGGACGGCTTCAATCTCCACGGGCAGGTATCCATTGTGCTCATTGACGATACCGAGCCAACCCTCCCTGTTGAATGGGATCTGGTGCTGACGGGTGACGATCTCAGCCTCGTCAATGTCGTCAATGGTTATCGGACGCAAGAGGTGCTGCTTGATGAAGGCCTGAAGGCCAAAGAAGAGGTGGGCGGGGTAGGGGCCTCCGCGCGACTCGATATAGCTCGAGACATATCTGGTGCCAGGCGGGTACAGATTCCAGTGCGAGTGCTTGTAGGTGTCGGTGTTGAGGATGATATTGTTAAAGTTGGATAACTGTCGTGGCCCCATCTTGATTGTTTTGAAAGAGATGTAAAAGGATGAAAGAAAAAAAAATGTTTCGAATTGGAAACGGACGGGGCTACTTATGAGATCTCATAGAGTTTCCAGCAATCCCCGCTGCCCGAATTTCGTGATATGTTGAGAATATTGAACGATTCATGTTGCGGTTGCGTGCTACAAACGTCAACGCTATACGCCATGGCGTAATCTCATAGCAATCCCTAGTGCCCACCTTTCGTGATATGTTGAGAATATTAGACATGGCCTGGCTCACGGCCTACTCTGACCCGGCCTGGCTTTATTCTGTGTAGGGTTAGGATCTAGTTTCGATTTGAAAGTAGAAAATCCCGGCGGGCAGGTGGTGATCGAGGCAGCGAGGGAAGAAGAGGCCGCGACGACCACCATCCCCTCCCCCTGAACCCCCCCGTTTTCGCCCTCGCAGAGAACACAGAAAGAGTGAGTGAGTGAGTGAGTGAGAGGGAGGCATCGCGTAAAGTTGACCGGACAGAGGAGGAGAAGGTGATTCACAGCCAAACAGAGGGAGACTGGCTGGGTGCGGGTGAGTCGGGCCTGGAGGACGGTGAGGACGGAGGTGAGGACGGGACGAGGAGCGGGAGAGGCAAAGGCGGCAGAAGAAAGATTCCCATGCATATGTAACCTACATAAACAAGGGGAAGGCATGTTGCAGTCCACACTGCAAATGGGTGGTGGGTGGCTTTGAGACAATCAATCAAGTACCAGCTACATCAATGTACCCTATAGATTGAGGATTTATCAATATATATATATATATATACACCCCGTGCAGTTTCCTGATTCTGTACATACCCTATTCCTATTTTTGCTATTTTCAAGCCTATTATATAGAAGAATGATAGGTGTGAATGTTTCGATATCCATGATTCGTGGGCAATAAATACGAAGTACTATATCCTAAACAAACTTGCGGCAAGGCAGGCATGCAGGTACCAAGGTTAGGTAGGTATCACGAGATCCTCGCCAGCAACCTTAGTTATGCATCATACATACTTCCACAAATAAAATATTGATTATTAATTAATGGAAGATAACTATGTAGCTACTACGTTAGCGAACAGCAATTACATCACACTGTCATGTGCTCACATCCCTTGTAAGTACTAATACACGTGATCAATTTATCCTCAACACTACTCTGCATAAAAGAATTGTCTACTCTGTACAGCAGCGCCAAGCCCCGCGTGTGGACACTCGATGGAATCCATTTCCCGAGCCAATGAAGAGATCCATGGATACCCGTAGATAACATCGTACCTGAGTACGGTCCGGAGTATTAATTAGGTTAGGTACCTGAGCGTCGGTACTGTAGACACCTAAGGTATCTATCCATGGATATATTTTCCACATGCTCCCACAATAATAATAATAATAATAGCTACCTAGTTAACTAATCATTTACCTATGTATATATGTATGGACAGTACAATACAATATGAATGTATGGCGTTCTATTAATAATTGCGAAGAAAAAAGAGAGTGCGCTATATATATGCTTTTATCTGTACGGAATACATACTGAAAGATATACCCACATAGGTATGTAAATACATAATTATCTACAGGAGTTGATTATCATAGTGATGATTATCATTATTGCACGTCGACAGACTATGCTTTTGCGAAATCACGAGTCTACACTCCGGAAGTCAAAGTGGTTGATGGTGCTAGTATCATCCACTGCAATGTTATAGCACTCGTTTCCAGCAACAATCAGTTCATGTTGCTGCCAATATTCAATGCGAAAAAATATTCTATATTTCTGTCTCATCTTTGTGTCAACTTCATTCATGTGTCTTCTGCCTTGGCATCAAAATCACAGTATGTCCATGTCATCGTCATCGTCATCCATCTACAGGGGTATCCAATCCATGAACAAACAAAACTGAACGATATCTGGCAAGTTTGCGACAAGTCGGAAATCTTCCATCAACACGGTTCATCGGGTATATATATAGCGCATTGCAACGACAGCGAAATCGTTCGTTGTGTTTTCCTCCCTTCGTGAAGAGTTTGTCTTTTGCAATCGAAGCACTCCAGGCGATGTCGCCATCATGCAGACTTGTTGCCGTCCACTTTCTCCCACTCGCTGTCCGTACTCACGTATCCTGAGCTCTCCGCTCCCGCATTGCGCCGTTCTCGCAGCGCTCCATCCTCAGCTGTACCTGCAGGACTGGCTGCAGCAGTCGACTTTGTAGTAGTAGTATTGGACGCGCTTGCAGCGGCTCCTCTGCGTCGTCTGCTCCCAGACACGCCCTCTGTCTCTGTCTCCGAGTCGCTATGATTCTCCTTCTCAGCGAGCTGGGCTTTCCGCTGCTCTACCTCTTCGCGAGCCCGGATCGCCTGGACTTCTCTGGCGAACCAGTTGATCGACCACCACAAGGCGGCACACAGGAACGACAGCACGACGAAGTGGATGCTGTACGTGGCGAGCAGGAGCAGGAAGAGCAGGACCTGCAGCGCGGCGAACGTGGCGTTGGTCGCCACGAGGAGGGACGGGGTCGGGCCGGGAGCGAAGATGCTGGACCACAGGTCCTCCACAAACGAGGTCGCCATGCTGCAGCGAGTAAACAACGTCAGTCGATGAATCTAGAGACCTAGAGGACGCGTCCCAGGCAAGGTCAGCACGCTCGTCCTCGTCGTCGGAAACTGGTTTCCGAGACGGGGGGGCGACCTACGATCAATCACAGCGAAAACAACGACGCGAGTCGCGCTGATGACGACAAGATAAGGTCCAGAGAGCCACGGCAACGCCCCGGCAAGCACGAGAAGCAAGCAGAGGCCGACCCGGGCAGAGGGAAAGGTGTGACAGGATGGCGTCGGCAATTGAGATGGAACGGGATGGATCAGAAAAGCGCCTCAGTGGAGCATGGAGCACCACTCCCCCAGCACGTAGCGCGCTTCCGGCCTGATCTAGGATCAATCCAGGCAACGGGCGGAAATGCACCCCGTGGGGAAAATTCTACGGGCCTGGAGAAGCGTGCGAGATGGAGCTGGCCTGGGGTATGCTGCAGACGAGGTTGTTTCTGCGGGATTCCGGGTGTTGCACCTGCGCCCGCCCGCTCACGTGCGGGGTGCCGCCCGCACTAACGGAGCCTGCCGACTCGCCTGCGGACAACGTCCCTCGCTTGCTAAGTAGTTGCTGCGGCTCTCACGCCCAGCAGCCCTGCTGAGAATTCTCCCGCCGAGGCTGCGGGTGGCTGTTGCTTGACTGTAGACAAGACCAGGCCCGACGTCATCGCTGGTGAGCGTGGCCTTGGCGCTGCCGTTCATCCAGGAGCGCATGCTCTGCCCTCGCAGACGTGAGCACTCGTGCCGCATGCGCTTCCATCTGTCAGTAGCGGAGAATTTGGCTCTGCTGTCAAACCTGACAGCAGGCCAGCCGTCTCGACGCGCAATGACGGTTAGTTGGTTGTTGGACGCCACAAAGGGCAGAAGGATTGAAGCCCTACGCCAGTAACGCCACAGAAGTTAAAATCCCTCACAGCCGCAGCATTCGACCTTGCGTCCAGAACACCCCCCTGCCTAGACAATTGTTATTCTTTTTTACACTCTGCTGGCGTTGGGTAGCCAAGGCTTTGCACAAAAAAAGTTTTTTTTTCTCGCCAAACCTCCGCAATTGGCAATTGCTGCCACGGGAGCAGGTCTCCGAGCCGCTCTTTTGTGCCAGATCGAAGCAACGGCGCTGGCTGCGCCTATTTTGCTTTTTGCCCCCTGTTGAGATTCATATGAACTCTTCCCTACGCCACTAGCCGTCACTCGACCTATGAACGCCTGCATGTGATGCGCGGTGGCTTTTTGCCCCAAACGCCATCTACTTCGACTGCCCTTCCCCCGCCCTTGCTGGATTTCGCTCAGAAACATGGCCAAAAAAAACTCACTCAGAAAAGGCCATTGCTGTAGAACATCTTAAGCAACGCTTTCAACCTTGCTTCTAGTACCTTCCTTCTGAAGCAGGTCGCAGCGTTTCTGCGATGGTGAGGGAGACTTTTCCCGTTGCAGGATGGTGGAGCCTGGGCGACAGCGGTTCGATGGCATTCTACAAGCTCATCCAAGCGCTGCAGGTCAGATAAGCCCACCGCTGCAACTAAAACACGACGACAAAACGTCTCATTCGACCGCACGCATCTTGACCATGTGCTCCGCAGCCTGTGCCCACTCGACTCCCTGCCCTCCCGGGCAGGCGGTCAATCTATCATCTGTAGATTCTCTTCGCTTCCAGCTGGATTCTTCGCGGTTGTTCCACCGCAGCATACCCAGCGAGGAAAGGTTTCCTGGCTGGGGCTGTCTTGACCTCATCCCCCTCCTCCTCGCTGCGACGAATCATGGTCCTCTGTAGGAGTCGGGCTTTGCCCGTTCAATCTGGCAAAGGAAGTTTAATTAAACGACCAGTTTGAAGTTATATAAACTGCTCCCGCTCCCGCTCCCCCCCCCCCCCCTCCTCTCTCCTCCTGGAATCCCATCCTAGGCTTCTTCCCAAGCCGTAGGCCACCCTCGACGACTGGCAACGTCACCCCCCTCCCCCCCCCCAATTCAAACCCCAGCTCGCATTACTTGCTTTTCTGGAGCATGGCGACGGACGGCAAGCTCGACACGAAGGATACCGTCAAACCCCCAGAGTCCCCCTCCCTGCATGGGGTCACCCACCATGCGGAGGCGGTCTTTGGCAAGGACACCTACGGCCCTCCGGGCATCCGGGGTCTGTTCCACAACCCTTTTGTCTTTCTCTGTGCGGCGTGTGCCACTCTGGGTGGTATGCTCTTCGGCTATGACCAGGGTGTCGTCTCCGTCATCCTCGTCATGCCGCAGTTTCTGGAGAAGTTCCCCCGCGTGTCCGAAACTGCGGCCGGCGCCGGGTTCTGGAAGGGTCTCATGACCGCAATGATCGAGCTGGGAGCCTTGTTGGGAGCTCTGAACCAGGGCTGGATCGCCGATAAGATCTCCCGTCGCTACTCGATCGTCGTGGCCGTGGTGGTCTTCACCATCGGCTCCACCCTGCAGACGGCCGCTGTGGACTATGCGATGTTGACGGTGGCCCGGTTGATCGGTGGCATGGGCATTGGCATGCTCAGTATGGTCGCTCCTCTGTACATCAGCGAAGTCAGCCCGCCTGAGGTGCGTGGAACGCTGCTGGTGATGGAGGAGTTCTGTATCGTGCTGGGCATCATCATTGCCTACTGGATCACGTACGGAACTCGCTTTATGGCCGGCGAGTGGTCGTGGCGACTGCCCTTCCTGCTCCAGATGATCCCTGGCTTCGTCCTGATTGCAGGCGTCACGGTGCTGCCATTCTCCCCCCGATGGCTCACCTTCAAGGGCCGCAAGGAGGAAGCTCTGGAGAGCCTGACGAGACTGCGCCGACTGCCAGCGACCGACAAGCGAGTCCGTCAGGAGTTTCTGGATATCCAGGCTGAGGTGCGCTTCCACAAGGAAATCCGAGCGGAGAGACACCCGAACCTGCAGGATGGGAGCAGGAAGAGCGAGATTCTTCTGGAGATTGTGTCCTGGACCGACTGCTTCAAGCGCGGTTGCTGGCGCAGGACTCACATCGGCATTATGATCATGTTCTTCCAGCAGGTACGTATCACCTGACCGCGCGCTCGTGATCGGGTGTCTAACGGGAGAATTAGTTCGTCGGTATCAATGCGCTCATCTACTACTCCCCGACGCTGTTTGAGACCATGGGTCTCGACTACGACATGCAGCTGGTCATGTCCGGCATTCTGAACGTCACCCAGCTCGTCGGTGTCGCAAGCAGCATCTGGACGATGGACAAGGTCGGACGCCGTCCGCTGCTGCTCATCGGATCGGTTCTGATGTGCATTTCCCACATCATCATTGCCGTCCTGGTCGGGCTCTTTGACAAGGACTGGCCTGCGCACCGCGCCCAGGGCTGGACGAGTGTGGCGTTCCTGTTCTTCTACATGCTCAGCTTTGGAGCTTCCTGGGGTCCTGTGCCTTGGGCGATGCCATCAGGTGAGCAATCTTCCGACAATTGCAATCCATGATTCATGAACTGATTGATTTCCGCAGAGATTTTCCCGTCCTCGCTGCGCGCCAAAGGTGTGGCCCTGTCGACCTGCTCGAACTGGCTCAACAACTTCATCATTGTAAGTTCGGCTGATTTTCTGCGTCTTTACGGAGTTATTTTTCTGCGTATTCACGGGGTCGTGTGACTAACTGGTCTTTCCCTCCAGGGTCTCATCACTCCTCCGCTGGTGCAGAATACCGGTTTCGGCGCTTACACGTTCTTCGCAGTCTTCTGTCTGCTGTCCGGAATCTGGACGTACTGGTTCGTCCCCGAGACCAAGGGGCGGACGCTGGAGCAGATGGACCACCTGTTCAGGGACAACACGAGCGAGTTCGAGGAGCAGCGCAGAAAGGCCATCGAGGCCGAGCTGCTGCAACAAGAGGCTCAAGCCGCTGCGCAGGTTTGAGTGTGAAGGAAGGACAGACACAGGGTCGGTCTTGTGTCTCTGGCATGTCGACAATTAAATTAACGGTCCTGTTGTCATGTGTCATGGGGCGGCATTGTGAAATTTATTTCTGAGGTGCCGGGTCTTGACTCCAATTTCTTGAAAGACGCGGTGCGTTGAGCTGTACTGTACATATACGTAACGAGTTATGATGTGAATGCCTTAGCGATGTGTTTAGTCGATGTAAATAATGGAAAATAAATATTTTCAAAAAATGAATAAAATAAGGAAATCCAATTTAGCTCGCTGACCTTTTCGACAGACATCACCAAAGTCTGTTATTTGGTGTTTAGAGAGTTGGCAATCTGGTTGTGTGAAGCCAGCGACTGCGGTGATAATGAAGGGGACTGACTTAAATGCACTGTTTGTAAATTTATATATTTTTTGCTTTGTATGGCGTACTATATCCACACTATTAGCAGTATTAACATTGGAAACGTTCCTTTTTTTTTTAAAAAAAAAACACTCCGAGGGGAAAAATCTTCAAGTCTACCAAGGCGAACGAACTGTTTGAGAAGGCAAAAAAAAAGGGAGAAAAAAAAATGTAGCGTCATTCACAAGATACACTTCTAAACAAAAAACAAAGAGGAAAAAAGGAGAAAAAAGAGAAAGAATATTCATTTCAACATAATTACAGGGTAAACATTACTTTTTTTTTCTCCTTGAATTTATTTACTTATTTAGTTAATAATAAAATAAAATAAATGGCCTTATGGAGGAGTAGGTAGTTAGGATCTTTATCCTTGCTGAATCTCTAATTTATTACTCCGTACGGAGTAATTCGAGCTAAGAAAATCAGATATCTGATCAAAAAAAGGTCCGAGAATATGCGAGATAGATACTTTAGATAGATAAGAAAGGAAGGTTGCAGAACAGAACAAAACAAAACAAAACAAAATAACCTTGGAACTCCGCAATATTAATAATTAATAATATATTAATATACTCCGTACGGAGTATCTTCCTGACTGAAGTGAAATTGATGCTCGAAGCAACAAACTCGAACCGGCGTAACTCTCTGTATTATTCAATCATTTATCAGCAATAATCAGCAATTTTAGGGTGACAGTTACCTACCTAGATATAGATCTAACCCCCCATACTATACCTTCAAGGGAAAGACTGCCGGCCAATCACTGCCCTAATAATAATGAACCCTTTTATTATTTTATATAATAGGTATGCTGTGCGGAGCGCCACGTTAAGTACGGAGTACCTACCCGGGTTCCCTAACTTAGGCAGGAAAGCTACCTTACTAGGCTAGCTAGCTAAGCTCCACTTTTTTAACGGCTTTTGATCTTTTGGAAACGATCTACGGAGTAACTTACGGAGTACGGAGTACCTACGGAGTATTCTGCACTCCGGATGAGTTCTTCCGCTAGCTTTGCATCTATCGGCTACATGTATCCTTGAGGCTTGACGTGCGCTTGCATGTTTCCTTCTATTACTCCGTACGCCGTACTCCGCACTCCGTACAGTACTCTGTACTCTTTAACCGAGGCAGAAAAATTGGAGAAAGAAAAAAAAAGAGGAAAACTTTCATGTGGGCTACGCGACGGGCCGGACCAGACCTCTGCCGGAGTTACCATAGAGAGCATTGAGGCATTCTGCGAATCGTGGATGATCGACTAACTAGTGCAACCCATCATCCACTACTCTCTTGATCCGCTGCCCCAGTTAGCGATTACGGGGAGTTATCGCGGTTCAGCTTGGCCATCTCTTTATCAGACTGCACAGACTGAAGATCTCTGTATCTGCTATCATAATACGTTGTTAATAATGATGATGAATTGAGGGATGATGAGTTGGTTGCTATCACATGTGAGCCTGCTGGACAATTCGCGAAGAGTCTTCCAATTCTCGTCATGGGCGCTGGTGGCTGGTCTAGAATGGCCGGAGATTTGAATCTGCTTGCGGGTGATTCTAGAAGCAGCAGAGAACCTGATTAAAAACCACGTGTAGGAAAAAAAAAGACGCAGATGTTGGGCATAAACGCGTTTTGTCTTCTCGATATCGACTTGTTACGATGGAGTTCGGCAGTTTGTTTAGAATATCGTCAACGGCGTGATTATCTCGCAGTACGGAGAAATAGGGAAAAAAAAAGACTCAGCAGATACTCCGTAGATCAACATGGCACGACTAAGGCCGTGCCATGGCCCCCAAAAGCAGTGCGTTAAAAAAATAATTTCGCATGGAACGGTAAGGCGTGAATCAGCGCATCTTGAATCTGAAACGACCTTCGAAAGAGACGGGACTGATGAGAGAAAAAAAAATTTTTTCTCTTCGTCATTTTTTTT